GCCAAACCTCTCTGGGGTGACTCATATGCCTCTAATCCTTGCTGCCTCTCTCAGCCAAAGCTTTTCCTGTGTCTCAGCACTCCAGGGCAGAGGAACAATGAGAAAAGCGACAAGTGGGGAGCTGCAGGGTTCTGTCCTGGGCCCGCTGTCGTTCATCGTCTGTGTAAACGACTTGGATGAAGGAATTGAGGGGATGCTCATCAAATTTGCAGATGACACCAAACTGGGAGGGGTAGCAGCTCAGGGGTCAGCAAACGTTTTCAGCAGTGGGCTGGTCCACTGTCCTTCAGACCTTCTGGTGGGCCGGACTATATTTTGAAAAAATAATAATGAATGAACTCCTATGCCCCACAAATAACCCAGAGATGCATTTTCATTAAAAGCACACATTCTACTCATGTGAAAACACCAGGCAGGCCCCACAAATAACCCAGAGGTGCATTTTAAATAAAAGCACACATTCTACTCATGTAAAAACACGCTGATTCCTGGACCGTCCGCGGGCCAGATTTAGAAGGCGATTGGGCCGGATCTGGCCCCCAGGCCTTACTTTGCCTATCCATGGGGTAGCTAATGTCACAGAAGACAGATTCGGGATTCAAGGTGACCTTCACAGATTGGAGAACTGGGCCCAAACTAGCAGGATGAATTTCAACTGGGGCAAATGTGAGGTTTTGCACTTGGGCAGGAAGAACCAGCTGCACCAGTATAAGATGGGGGACACGTGTGAGAAGGATCTAGGGGGGTCTTAGTAGTGAACAAGCTTAACACGAGTCAGCGGTGAGATGCAGCAGCAAAAAAAGCAAATGCTATTCTTGTGGGAATGTTGAGGAAGGTAAAGGTGAAGGGACCCCTGACCATTAGGTCCAGTCGTGAACGACTCTGGGGTTGCGGCGCTCATCTCGCTTTATTGGCCGAGGGAGCCGGCATACAGCTTCCGGGTCATGTGGCCAGCAGGACTAAGCCGCTTCTGGCGAACCAGAGCAGCGCACGGAAACGCCGTTTACCTTCCTGCCAGAGCATCTACTTGCACTTTGAGGTGCTTTCGAACTGCTAGGTTGGCAGGAGCAGGGACTGAGCAACGGGAGCTCACCCCGTCACGGGGATTCGAACCGCTGACCTTCTGATCGGCAAGTCCTAGGCTCTGTGGTTTAACCCACAGCGCCACCTGTGAGGAAGGTAGGAGAGGATATATTGATTAAATATTATCCCTCCTCACTCACGCCAGTGAGCAACCAGCAGAGCACATTCTCTTGCACATTGCTGGAAGCAAGTTGATGGATTCGTTAGAATCATTTAAGTTGAGCAATCCAGTCTGGATTGTTCCTGGTAAGCTTCCCCTTTTATTTCCCTCTTAAAATAATAATAACACGACAGTCTTCTTTAAAAGTGAGAGTAAACTTTACTTACATTCAGCTCACAGCAGTGCTATGAAGGCAGGCTTTGTCTTGTGGTTACATTTGTAGAGAAAAGAATTCTGAGTTAGGCCTCCGACTTTCGACCTCGTGGCTTCCATCCTCTGTAAGGATGAGCCGTGTGCTGCTGGCTAAGAGCCAGAAGAGAGGAAGAAGAAGAGTTTGGATTTGATATCCCGCTTTATCACTACCCAAAGGAGTCTTAAAGCAGCTAACATTCTCCTTTCCCTTCCTCACAACAAACACCCTGTGAGGTGAGTGGGGCTGAGAGACTTCAGAGAAGTGTGACTGGCCCAAGGTCACCCAGCAGCTGCATGTGGAGGAGAGGAAAATCGAACCCGGTTCACCAGATTACAAGTCTACCACTCTTAACCACTACACCACACTGGAAGATGGCAAGAGAACCAAAAAGTCAAAGAGCTAAAAGAAGAAGATGGCTATGTGACTGGCCTTTTATCGTGTTTTTAATATTCTGTTGGGAGCTGCCCAGAGTGGCTAAGGAAACCCAGACAGATGGGTGGGGTTTAAATAATAATAATAATAATAATAATAATAATAATAATAATAATTAGAGTAAATCCGGATTAGATGGCCAGGAAAATATGGGCTGGCATTTTGACGACAAGGACATCATGTGGCTGTTGGGAAAATAAATAAATCTTGCATGCATGAGAAATATTGATCCCACAAGAAGCAGCAGTCTGGAGTCTCCCTATTTTCATGCTTCAGATGGCTCTGCAAGCCCATCTCCTGCCACAGAGACACATTATCGGAGGCTTTCCCCTGCCTTGGTATTCTGCAAGAGTCGCCTTCTCTGCTGATTTAAAAAACAAGAGGCGATCATTCTTTCGGCGGAGGATATATGAGGAAAGACCACAATATTGAGGGCTTTTTAGTGCAGAGGGAACAAATAAACAAGGGGGAGCCATGAGAGAAGTGTATAAAAACTGCATGGTGTTGAGAAAAGACAAAGCGATGTTGGCAAGCTGGAAGGTGCACAGAGGAGGGCGACCAAGATGATCAAGGGACTGGAGACCAAGCCCGATGAGGAGCGGTTGAAGGAGCTGGGTATGTTTACCCCGAAGAAGAGGAGACTGAGAGGTGATAGGATGTTGTTGTATAGTCATTTAGACGTGTCCACCTCTTCGTGACCCCCTGGACCAGAGCACGCCAGGCACTCCTGTCTTCCACTGCCTCCCGCAGTTTGGTCAAACTCATGCTGGTAGCTTCAAGAACACTGTCCCACCATCTCGTCCTCTGATGTTCCCTTCTTCTTGTGCCCTCCATCTTTCCCAACATCAGGGTCTTTTCCAGGGAGTCTTCTCTTCTCATGAGGTGGCCAAAGTCTTGGAGCCTCAGCTTCAGGATCTGTCCTTCCATAGAGCACTCAGGGCTGATTTCCTTCTGAATGGAGAGGTTTGATCTTCTTGCAGTCCATGGGACTCTCAAGAGTCTCCTCCAGCACCAGAATTCAAAAATATGAATAATTGTTGTGTTTAAACGGTTGAAAATAAATATTATTTCAAAAGCATCCATTCTCCGGCGATCAGCCTTCTTTATGGTCCAGCTCTCACTTCCATACATCACTACTGGGAAAACCATAGCTTGAACTATACGGACCTTTGTTGGCAAGGTGATGTCTCTGCCTTTTAAGATGCTGTCTAGGTTTGTCACTGCTTTTCTCCCAACGTCTTTTAATTTTGTGACTGCTGTCACCATCTGCAGTGAGCCCAAGAAAGTAAAATCTCTCACTGCCTCCATTTCTTCCCCTTCTATTTGCCAGGAGGTGATGGGCCCAGTGGCCATGATCTCCGTTGTTTTGATGTTGAGCTTCAGACCATATTTTGCATTCTCCTCTTTCACCCTCATTAAAAGGTTCTTTAATTCCTCCTCACTTTCTGCCATCAAGGTTGTGTCATCTGCATATCTGAGGTTGTTGGATAGTCATCTTCAAATATCTCAAGGCCTGTCCCATGGAAGAAGGAGCATGCTTGTTTTCTCCTGGTCTGGACAGTGTGTCTCAAACTGATGGATTCAGATTGCAAGAAATTAGATTCCAGCTTAAACCTTAGGAAGATCTTTCCCACGGTAAGAGCTGTTTCCTGGTGGAATGGACTTCTTTGGAAAATGGTGTCCTCTCCTTCCTTGGAGGCTTCTGAACAGAGGTTGGCTGTCTGTCTGTCAAGGATGCTTTAGTGGAGATTCCTGCATTGAAGGGGGTTGGACTAGATGACCATTTGGGGTCCCCCTCAAACTCTACAATTCTGTGATTCTATGATAGGGAGAGCCCCCCCTGCCCTTTTCTCCATGCCATGTACAATACCAGAACACGGGGACATCCAAGTACAACCTTATCTGCTTCTTCTACACCTTTTTTTATAATACTAGAAATTGTGGGCATGAAACGAAGCTGAATGTTGGAAGATTCAGGACAGAATTTCGTCACACATGTGGAACTCACTGCCACAGGAGGCAGAGAGGGCCACCAACTGAGGGGGCTTTAAAAAGGAGAAAGGAGAACGCTATCAATGGCTACTAGGCACAATGGCTGTGCTCTGCCCTCTAATGTTGGGGGCATTAATGTTCCCGCGGACCACGACTGAGTAAAACCTTCAATTGCTTACAAAGCTAGATGTCTGTGATTTATTCTAGCCTAGGTATTTTCATGGGGAACATTTGTTTAAAAGTGGTAATTCTAACCAAGTTTAATGTGCTTGGAGCAAATCACCATTGTGCTAACTCTGTGTGATTGCCTGGGATTCGGACTCGGAGGCTGAACCTGAAGAATCCCAGCCTGCACAGGATTCCCCACCTCCAGAACCAGCTGAGCCGGGGCTGGCTCCTGAGGTGGTGGAGGACCCATTGCCTGCAGGTGCTCCACTCTCAGCCCCGTCAGGGGAAGAGGAGGTTGCCTCTGGATTCGGTAACCCTCCAGCCTCTCCTGAGCTGCAGAGACTCAGGGCAGAGAGGCGGAGGGAACTAAGTTCTCGCAGGAGGAGGGCTCGCCTCCAGGCCAGGAGAGGCAAGTCACCTGTGGACCGGGGCTGCCCTATGCCTCGGAGCAGATAAAAGCCAGCCAGCCCAGTCCCAGGTTGTGGGAGCAACATTGTTGGTAGCCTGTTCCTGCCTGAACCCTGTCTTGCTCTTCTGCCAGAGTTCCTGACCTCACCCAACTTCCTGCCTTGGACCCAGCTTCAGCTTTGACAGACAGCCTCCATACCGCACCCTTGACCTCGGACTGGACTCGGACCTCGCCGCACGGTTAGCCCTCGGGTCTAGCACACTCTGCTATGAGAGAGTAAGGAATCTCTTCCAAACCTTTCATCTCCAACAAAGACAGCATACCTTTGAATACCCGGTTCTGGAAATCACAAGCGGGGAGAAGGCTGTCTAGCTTGAGGGTTTCCCAAAACAGGCATCCGGTTGGCCACTGTGAGAACAGGACTCTGGACTGGGCGTTGGTCCTGATCCAGCAGGAACCTTCTGATGTTCTACGCGCTGCTCTTGGCTCCAGCAGAGTGCCCTGGAGCATGTGCAGAACACACTGCCCTCACAACCATGTCAGAACAGCCTGCTTTTGAGGCCCTCCGTAGAAAGGGACTTTGTGCACGACCTGCTCTCCTTCTGTTAGGGAAAAATCTAGGTGTGAGGCTGCTCAGTCCCCCAGCTGGTCGGGCAGAGCCCGCGGGTCCCTGCGGAATAAAAGAAGGAGTCCAGCCAACCGGAGCAAATAGCTGTAGACCAAAGTTTATTGCGCAATAGGTTCAAAGAGCAAATTTGAACCCTGAGGATGGGGTGACAAGGACTTTTAAAACTTTCCCACCATATCCCAGAATACAGTTCGTACAGCATCATTGCTACATCACTGACATGTCACAAAAGGGGAGGGCTTAACCTTGGCAAACAGGTCCAGACAAAGCCTTGGTACCAGATTAGCATAAGCAGACATGGCAGGGCAAGAGTCAGGTATAAGATTAGCATAGACAAATATGTCTTAAGTACCCACCACCCAAAAGTACAACAGAAGTTCCTTTGCATGTCTGGAGCCTGAGGCGAGTCAGGTGATGAGATTTGGCTTCCTTTGGCTAACAATTGTCCCAGCAATTGTCACCTCTGGGAACTTCCTGGAGTCCCTTTTCAAGGGGAAAATAGCTTTGGAATGGAGGAAACTGGGAAAGGAGATGATTTTATATTATTTTTAAAGCTAGGTGACTTCCCTGAGCTGTCAAGTTGAAAGGACATATTCAGGCATAATATTTGTAATATTTAACTTTAAAGATGTGGCCCTCCCCGTAATTTCCGTAACACCTTCTTGTCCCAATTCGTATAATATCCGCCCTCCCTTCCCCACAGGTGGGCGGGGTTTGCGGCACCAAGCGAGGCTCACCTGGGCAGGTGCCACCCACCTGCCTGAGCTGGCCTTTGACCCGCCCCCGGCCAGGGAGGACAATGGACAGCCGGCCGGGGGTGGGCCTAAGGCCAAAGGAAAAGAGGCTGACTCCTGGGCTCAAGCCTCTTTTGCTGCTCTTCCTTCTGGGATCTAGATCAGGATCAGGAGTGTATCCATCAAGTTGGGGGGGGGATGCATTCATGCTCCCTCCCCATGCGGCGGCGCTTGCAGGGCCCGTTAAAGGGCAAAAAACCGGGAGTCCCTGGCCCTAGAGCGGCGGCATGTAGGTCAAACTCCCCGGACAAGGTCAGTGGAAGGGCATGCTGTGTAAGTTTGCGCTTTGCAGTCCCCTCTCACTGGAGCTCATCTGCCTGCATATCCTCAGCCAGGCGGGCTGAGAGGGTTACCTGCCAAGGCCTGTGCCCAGTTTCCCACTTCTAAAATTCAAAGTTGTGGCCAATTTGAACCCATACTCTGGTCTCTTGTGTCATCATTTGGGAAAAGGGGGTAGGCACCACAGACAGGGTTTATGCCCGCAATTGTAGAGATGGGAGGGAACCCCAGGGGTCATCCATTCTACCCCCCACCCCTGCGATGCAGGAATTGCAAGTGAAGAATCCCTGGCAGATGCCTATTCTAAACTCTGCTTGAAAACCTCATCCCTCTCTGGTGCAAACTACCCAGCGAAGCTATTAAACCTCTTTGATTTTCCAGCATGCCAAACAGCTTCTGCGTTCTCTCTGCTGCCCAGCGCCTCTGATTTATTCCAGCAGCGGAGAAGGAACAGCAGTCGAGGGGAGATTTTCTTTTTTCTGCAAAAAGGAAAGAGAGGCGGGGGGAGCAGAGCAGAGTCCGCCGCCGCCGCCACTTCGCCTCCTCCATCCCGGCCTAAAATCCCGCGGAGCCAAATGCCCTGATTAATTCCGTTGATGAACTCTCTAACGATTTCAGATCATGTTTTCCAGCCGGCTGAAAGGGAAGGTTAAAAGCAAAGCGACTGGAGGGAAGACAAGCCAGGGAGACAATTCCCCCACCCCTTGTTGGAGGGGTGGCGGTGGAAATACGTTCCCATTTGCGCCCCCCCCCCCATTTCAGGGGGAAAAAAAGAGATAACAAGATTTCGACAGATTAAAGCCTTGGTTCACGGATGCTGTAAAGAGCAGGGGACGCAGCTGATTGGAGAGGCAACTTCTCTGGGCTCGGCTGAGGTTCGGCTAGGGAGTGGGGAACATCAGAGCGGGAAGGGGACCCCCCAAGGCCATCTAGTCCAACCCCATGGAATGCGGGAACCCCAGAACCCCAGAGAGGCGACCATCAAGTCTCGAGTGATGGAGAGTCCACTGCCTTCCGAGGGAGTCGAATGCCTCTTGCCCTCAAAAAGTCCTCCCTAGTGTTTAGTCAGAATCTCTTTCCTTGCAATTTCAGCTGCCTTCATCTTCCCGCAGAAGGGGCTGAGGGGCCGGGGGCCGGCTGGGTCTCTTGGTCAGCCCACCGAGGGCCACTTTATTTGTATTTATATACAGTGGTACCTCGGGTTAAGAACTTAATTCGTGCTGGAGGTCCGTTCTTAACCTGAAACTGTTCTTAATCTGAAGCACCACTTTAGCTAATGGGGCTTCCCGCTGCTGCCGCGCTGCCAGAGCACGATTTCTGTTCTCATCCTGAAGCAAAGTTCTTAACCCGAGGTACTATTTCTGGGCTAGCGGAGTCTGTAACCTGAAGCGTCTGTAACCCGAGGTACCACTGTACTGCCCTATACCCAGGGGTCTCAGGGCAGTTCACAAAATAAAATCAGGATATAGAACCACAAAATACATAATAAAAATAAAAGCAACAACCCAATACACCCGCCCCCACAAAAAAACACATTTTAAAAAGGGCATAGGATGTCAAACAGATCAACCTGGTTAAAAAAGGAACGTTTTTGCCTAGCGCCTAAAGGTGTATAATGAAGGCGCCAGGTGAACTTCCCTGGGGATAGCATTCCACAGACGCGGAGCCACTGCAGAGAAGACCCCGTTCTCGTGTATAATGAAACCATAGAATCATTGATCTGTGAAGGGACCACCAAAGGTCATCGAGTCCAACCCCCCCTGCAGTGCAGGAATTGCAGCTCAAGAATCCCTGACCGATGACCCTCCAACCTCTGCTGAAAAACTTCCAAGAAAGGCAAGCCCACCACCTTCTGACAGGTGTGCTCTCGCACTTGGGTCCTGCTTGCGGTTTTCTCTGTCTGGCCACTGTGAGAACAGGATGCCAGCCCAGATGGGACCTGGGCCTGATCCAGCAGCCTCTTCTGATGTTCCTACGATGCTGTGAGTCGCCCCGGCTCAGTACAAGGGTAGCAGCTGCAGTCTTGCCATTCACTATCTCCCTTGGGGGCCACTTCCAATTAGGCCCCGTCTCTCCCTGGCCGCCACCCCTGCTCTCTCTGATACTTGCCTTAATGGCTCTGATTGAAGTTGAATCCTGACAAGACAGAAGTGCTGTTCTTGGGGATAGGGGGCGGGCTGGTGTGGGGGATTCCCTGGTCCCGAATGGGGTAACTGGGAGTCATTCTGGACTCACAGCTTTCCATGGAGGCGAAGGTTAATTCTGTGTCCAGGGCAGCTGTCTCCCAGCTCCATCTGGTACGCAGGATGAGACCCTACCTACCTGTGGACTGTCTCGCCAGAGTGGTGCATGCTCTAGTTATCTCTTGCTTGGACTACTGCCATGTGCTCTACGTGGGGCTACCTTTGAAGGTGAGCCGGAAACTGCAACTAATCCAGAATGCGGCAGCTAGACTGGTGACTGGGAGTGGCCGCAGAGACCATATAACACCAGTCCTTAAAGACCTACATTGACTCCCAGTACGTTTCGGGGCACGAGTGTTGGTGCTGACCTTGAAAGCCCTAAACGGCATCGGTCCAGTATACCTGAAGGAGCGTCTCCACCCCCATCGTTCTGCCCGGACACTGAGATCCAGCGCTGAGGGCCTTCTGGCGGTTCCCTCCCTGCGAGAAGTGAGGTTACAGGGAACCAGGCAGAGGGCCTTCACGGTAGTGGCACCCTCCCTGTGGAACACCCTCCCTTCAGATGTGAAGGAAATAAGCAGCTATCTTATCTTTAAAAGACATCTGAAGGCAGCCCTGTTTAGGGAAGTTTTTAATGTTTAATGCTGTATTGTTTTTAACACTCCACTGGGAGCCGCCCAGAGTGGCTGGGGAAACTCAGCCAGATGGGCGGGGTATAAATAATAAATTATTATTATTATTATATGCCTTGACTCCCAGACTCAATTTGGGGCTCAGCGTGGGGCGTGCATGTTCAGGGGTGAGAGGCAAAGAGGCTGTGGTGCTTAGAGGCGGCGCGGACTGCTCCCCAAACACCTCATGACAGCCCCCCCCTTTTGCTCTGACAACCGGCTCAGCAGGCAAAGCGGACAATCAAAAGAATATAAGGAGAAGAACGGGATAAATTGTTCATCATTCGCCGCCGCCCCATCCAACGCCCCCCCGGAACTGCAAACCCAAGCAGGCCTGAATGTTGTCGGCGGCTTAAAGGTGACCCAGAGTACGCTGAAGGATGCCGCCAGAATACTGATGGAAAGATTACAAGTCTATTAGGGTTTTCATTAAAATTGTAAATAGCAGAAGGAGAAGCCGGCTGGTGTCAGGGCCTGGCGCAGAGACCGGGGGGCATGTTGGCGCCAGGAACCTTTGGGTAGCTGCCAGTGCCGCCACGCCCTCACCCTGCCCCTAGCCGCTATTTTGGCCACTATCATAGGGTTGCTATAGGTCCGTGGTTTCCCGGACGTGTCTGGGATTTGTCCGTCAGAAATAGCATCCGAATTTAAAGAATATTTAGTGAGATATTGTAATATAAGACACTTTAAAAATTCCAAGAAGTACAGTGGTACCTCAGGTTACATACGCTTCAGGTTACATACACCTCAGGTTACAGACTCCGCCAACCCAGAAATAGTGCTTCAGGTTAAGAACTTTGCTTCAGGATGAGAACAGAAATTGCGCAGCAGTGGCGCGGCGGCAGCAGGAGGCCCCATTAGCTAAAGTGGTGCTTCAGGTTAAGAACAGTTTCAGGTTAAGAACGGACCTCTGGAACGAATTAAGTATTTAACCCGAGGTACCACTGTAACAGATTAGGCTAAGGGATAGAAAAAGATTAATTATAAAGATTATTATGGATTACAATTGGTAATAAGGTTAAGAAGTATGTAGTGAAAGAAGATACTGATGTTATAAATATGAAATTGGGAACTGCTACATATGTGACATGATGAAATCCAGATTGGAGTGTGTCGAGGATGTCTTTTAGCAATGCAACTACACCAGGGAATAAGAAGGAAAAATTATTCTTTTATTTTGTGTGGTTTTATTGGTGTTAAGTTTTTACGTTGTGTCAAATGTAATGTTTTTCTTTTGCGTTTTTGTCTGTGTGTTATAAGAGAAAACCAATAATTATTTTTTTTGGGGTGGGGGGGGGGGGGAAATAGCATCCGGGCGGAATTTGCGAATATCGGCAAAAATTTCCTGGAAAACCGGCTGTGTGGCAACTCATGTCAGAAGTGCTGATTTTTTTTGGAGGAATTTCCTTAAAAATAGTTTTAAAACTTATTAAAGCAACCCCCCCAAACAGCTCATCAACTTTTGTGTCCGGTTTTTTTGCTCTTCAAAATGTGCCCCTGGTGTTCAAAGCCCCAAGCCACACCCTCCCACATTCCTCAGATGGAAACAGGGACATTTCTTACTCCCTCCACAACTGACCCTCCTCCTCAACCCAATATTTTTTGGTTTCTACCTCCTGCAGAGACATCACCTTGCCAACAAAAGTCCGTATAGTTCAAGCTATGGTTTTCCCGGTAGTGATGTATGGAAGTGAGAGCTGGACCATAAAGAAGGCTGATCGCCGAAGAATGGATGCTTTTGAATTCTGCTGCTGGAGGAGACTCTTGAGAGGCCCATGGACTGCAAGAAGATCCAACCTCTCCATTCTGAAGGAAATCAGCCCTGAGTGCTCACTGGAAGGACAGATCGTGAAGCTGAGGCTCCCAGACTTTGACCACCTCAGGAGAAGAGAAAACTCCCTGGGAAAGACCCTGATGTTGGGAAAGATGGAGGGCACAAGGAGAAGGGGACGACAGAGGACGAGATGGTGGGACAGTGTTCTCGAAGCTACCAGCATGAGTTTGACCAAACTGCGGGAGGCAGTGGAAGACAGGAGTGCCTGGCGTGCTCTGGTCCAGGGGGTCACAAAGAGGTGGACACGACTAAATGACTAAACAACAACAACAACCTCCTGCAGAGCATTTCCAATCAGAAGAAGTGCCGCCAGTGGCATAGCATTGCTTGGTGGTTCCTGGGGCACACGTGCACCCTTGCACTGGGCAGTGGGGCTGCCAGCCTAGGCTTCGCTGCCAATGCCACTGGAGCGATCCTACCCTCACTGGAGCAAAGTGGGGCCACACTGAGCCGCCTGCCCGCCTGCCCATGCCAGGACGAGCCCACCCGGCTGACACAGCCCTTGGTAGGCGGAGAGGGGCACCAGGTCAGGCCGGGCTGGTTTGCACCCCCTCAAAAATTGTGTGCCCGGGACCACAGCCCCCCTGGCATGCCCCACGCTATGCCCTTCAGTGCCAACACCACTACATTAACAGAACAAAGCACACATGCCCTCCATTGCTGTGAGAAAAACCCTGTATCCCGATTTTATTTTATTCTTTGGTAGATTTACTGTTATGTACTGAGTTGAATAGGGACGTGGGTGGCGCTGTGGGTTAAACCACAGAGCCTAGGACTTGCCGATCAGAAGGTCGGCGGTTCGAATCCCCGCGACAGGGTGAGCTCCCGTTGCTCGGTCCCAGCTCCTGCCAAAGTAGCAGTTCAAAAGCACATCAAAGTGCAAGTAGATAAATAGGTACCGCTCCAGCGGGAAGGTAAACAGCGTTTCTATGCGCTGCTCTGGTTTGCCAGAAGCGGCTTAGTCATGCTGGCCACATGACCCGGAAGCTGTACGCCGGCTCCCTCGGCCAATAAAGCGAGATGAGCGCCGCAACCCCAGAGTCGGTCACGACTGGACCTAATGGCCAGGGGTCCCTTTACCTTTACTGAGTTGAATGGGATCCA